TTCCTAAGCTTACACACCAGATTTTCTTTTCCCTTGACTTTGAAACCTTCTGGTTGCTTCATGTAAATTTCTTCTTCTAAGTCACCATAAAGAAATACTGTTTTCACATCAAGTTGCTCAACTTCTAAATTCAAGTGGGCAGCCAAACCAAGAATAACTCGGATAGAGGATATTTTCACCATAGGAGAATATTTCTTCAAAGTCAATACATTTCTTCTAACTGAATCGTTTCATAACTAGTCGTGCCTTGTATCTTTGTAGTGAGCTATTATTTTCAATCTTCAATTTATAAACTCATTTATTCTTGAGAGGTTTCTTCTCTTTAGGCAACTTTATTGAGTTATAGATGTGGTTCTCAAGCAAGGATCTTATCTCTTCTTGCATAGCTTTAACCCACTCATTCTTATGCTCATGTAGAATAGTTTATTGGTAAGTTTCTAGCTCTCCCTAGTCAGTAAGTATAACATACTCATGTGGAGGATATCTAGTAGATGATTGTCGCTCACTTGTGGATCTTCTCAATGGAATCTTAACTAGTGGTGGAGGTGCTTGTTTAGTTGATTCAATATCATCAATTGTAAGAGTATCACTACTAGCATTCTCACCATCTTCTTGTTCATCTCCCTCATGATCATCATGAACTATAAGTAAAGGAACTGGATTCAAACAATAAGGAATATAAACAGAGGTTTTGGCTTCTCAACATTATCACCATCATCAAACAATTGGTGTTCAAGAAATATAACATTTTTACTTCTAATAATCTTCTTGTTCACTAGATCTAATAATCTGTGCCCAAACTCTTCATGACCATATCCCAAGAAGATACATATTTTTGCCTTCTTATCAAGCTTGTATCTCTCATCTTTGAGAATATAAACAAATGCTTTATACCCAAAGACTCTCAAGTGATTATAAGATATATTTTTTCCTTTCCATACTTTCTCTTGAACATCACCTTTCAGAGGAGCTGATGAAGAAAGATTTATCAGGTCAACTGTAGTTCTCAAAGCCTCCCCCCAAAATGGCTTAGGTAACTTAGCATGTGAAAGTATACACCTAAACCTTTCTTCAACGGTTCTATTCATCCTTTCTACCACACCGTTCTATTAAGGAGATTTAAGAACTGTTTTCTCAAGTCTGATACCATGGAACTTACAATAATTCTCAAAATGACCCCTGTATCACCACCATTATATGCTCGGATACATTTTAGCTTTTTTGTTAGTTTCTCTTTCAACACTAACATGAAACTTTTTGAAAACATCGAGTACCTGGTCTTTAGATTTCAAAGCAAAAGTCTACATTTTTCTAGAATGGTCATCAGTGAAAGTAACAAAATAAAGAGCGCATCCAAGAGTTCTAGTTTGCATAGTATATACATCAATATAAATCAAATAAATAACATTTGATCTTCTAGATGACGGATATGTATGAAAGGCAACTCTATGTATTTTTTCAGCTAAGCAATTATCATAAGATTTAAGAGATGTACTTTGCAACTTTGGTAAGAACTACGTTCTAGCAAGAGTTTGAAGTTCATTCTCGCTGATACGACCAAGCTTCTTATGCCAAAGATTTATACTTTCCCCCTTCTGAATTGCATTAATCTCTTATTTATATAGCTTAGCTTCCATGACATAAAAATGGTTAAGCTTCTTTCCTCTACCATAATTAAATAACCTTTAGTGAGTTTTCATTTGCTTTCACCAAAATAGTGTGTAAATCCCTCATCATCAAGTCTGCTTGTATATATCAAGTTAAGATGAATATCTAGAACATGTTTGATATCTTTGAGTATCAATTTACTCCCAATACTGATCTCCAAGCAAATATCTCCAATACTAACAATCTTAGATATACCACTATTTCCCACTCTAACATTACCAAAATCACCAATAGTGTGAGATACGAAGAAATCATTACACAATCGTCATCACAAACAATAACGATTTCACCTTCAGCAACAATTGTATTGGTCTCTTTCTCATTTTTCTTTCTTTCATTCTGTTCTCGTTTCCAAAACCTACACTCATTCTTCATGTGACTTGGCTTGTTACAGTGAAAATATTTTATATCTCTTCTAGATTTGGATCTTCCTCTATAACCATGTGGATTTCTACTATGACTTCTTCCACGTCTTTCTTGTTTTTTAGTAACAAATGCACCAGAAGAAGATTCTCTCTGTTCTTTCATTCTGACATTTTTATTTAGCAAACTATCTTTAATTATATCTATAATTAGAGTCCCCTCTAGCGTGGAGTTATAAATTGTTTCCACATATTTTCTAACTTCTGGTAAGAGCTGAGAAGTAATAATCCTTGCATCTCATCATCTATATTCATTTTCATAGCAACTAGCTTATTTGCTAGACTCTGAAATAGGCTTATGTGCTCAATAGTGTTATCACCATCTTTATACTTTAAATTTACGAAGTCTTCTGAAGAGAGATATTATATTTCCCACTGTCTTTTTCGCAAAGAGGTTTTCTAACTTTTGCCAAATAACATCAGCTATGGTTTCATCGGAAATATGCTCATGCAAATTTATATTCATCCATCATCTAATATAGGTAATAGCTTTTTTATTTTGAATTTCTCATTCCTCATCATCCATATTAGAAGGTTTATCTTTAACCTTGCTAGGCTTATACAAATCTTTGCAACAAAACAAATCTTCCACCATATGCCTCCAAATAGAATAATTTGATAAGTTCAATTTAATCATACCATCTGACTATTCTATTTCAATCGCATAAGAAAAAACTAGCACCAAATAACTTGTTGCTCTAATACCACTTGTTGGGAAAAACTGTTATAGTGGAATAATTCATTTTCCCTCTTTGTATATCAAAATGGGTTTCTCATCAAAATACCAACTTGCTATCAAAAGCACATATTAACCAGAACAACATAAACAGCAGAAAATGAATCAATCACAAAGTGAGACTAAATTTAAATGTGAAAAACTCAATACGGGAAAAACCACGGGACCGTAGTCCACTTCAAACTTCCACTATCACTAATAATGATAACAGGTTTATAATAAGTCTTCTCTAAAATAACAAGAGGATCATAATAACATCAACACCATATATCTTGGCTTCAGAATAGTATATCATCATCACATGGATGGATCATATCAAAAGAAAAGTTTAGATCTCACCATGTGGGTATAATAGAAAAGTACCTCAGAGATGATAAATTACATATTAACATTGTTAAGATTATAGAGTTTACTATAAAAATTCTTTGTATATAATTTGAGTCAAAAATGATAAAATTTGACCACTAATCGTCAAATAAAAAAAATTCAAAATCTTATTTCTCTCTCTCTCTCTCTCTCTCTCTCTCTTATTTTCTCTCTCCGCCGCCATCTGCACACTCCCATATGCGCAGCATGTCATTTTTTTCTCAAATGCGAGCATGTCATTTTTTTCTTTTTTTTTCTTTTTAATTATTGATTTGAGCATTCAATTATCCGATCCAAACTCACATATGCCGGACCAAACATGTTATTTGTTCTCTTAATATATATGAATCGGATTAAATGATAAATATAAATTTCAAACTCATGTCTTATATCTTGATCTTATGTTTAGTATTCTTATAAACTGCTGTATGATTTATTATGTTCTATGTCACTGCTGTGATAGTTGCTATTGTACTTTTGTAACTCACCTTCTTGTTATATAAAATTTTTAGATTTATTTGTCTCTACTCTGGTACTGTTGTTAGGTTAGGCTTGAGCAGTGGAATACCAGAAAAATCTCATAAGATCATGTAAAATAAATTTTGATTGCGAGCTGAACTGTTATTTGTTTTCTAAATGTTTCATATGCTTTGATGTGAACTTATAGTAAATTGTTGACTTATGGACGTTATCATGTTTTGATCGTCCTGGTGAGTTTATGATTGATGTTAAGAATTATGGAGTTTGCTTCGAGATTTATGAAACATTAATTGATTTAAATATTAAATCAGTTTGATTGTTGATGGTTGGTGGTTGATGTATATATTGTTTAAGAAAGAATGATTTTCTTGAGGTGTGATAGTATATAAAACAGTCTCTCTCAATAAAAAAAATCTTTTATAATATTTTTTATAATTTCACATATAATATGAATCTTGCACAATTGTCATAGCTTGTTCTTTTATAACAACGTGTAGTTGTAAATGAACACCATGGTCCAATAGTAGCATGTTGACCGTGTCTCTGTCTTCCCCAATTATTATCCCAATTTATCAAATGGACAAAAAAAAAAAAAAGAGCACAAACAAAGTCAAATGACAGAGTCCACCCCAAAATGCTGTATCTAGCTTTAAGATTCGTGTTGTATCATGATCTAATCCGAACCAGATGGGCTTTTTACGTTGCTTCTATATATTGTTGGCCACACAAGAAAACAAGTTAGAAATACCGGAAGTTATATATGTATGCCTTGGCCACACAAAAAAACATAACGTGCATGAATGTAGCGGTGCCTCATGCACGACGTGGGCACAAGTCCCAAGTGTCCTAGCATGTGGAATACGGGGCGGCACCGCCCCCCAGACCACTGGCTTTAAAGAAACTGAGGGTGAGAAAGAGTATATAGATATATATAGGTTCTACTACACGTCCCAGAGTCGTCGTCCCAAAACTTAGCCCTAATTTATGGATGGCACCTCCAAAGAATAATTGGCCTGCGAGAGAGCTGTGCGGAACGAGACAAAATGAAACAATATAATAGGAAGAAGTGGTGCACTTGGAATATGTCGGTCATCACTTGTGCCTCGGATTACAGAGTAAGTCGTGATGCTTAGCATTTTGGGAGGAGTAAAGTTTTGGGACACCGAGTGAGCGCGTCATCTTTCGCACAACATGCAGCGGTGTATACGAAACGCGACGGGGATGCACAAAAAAGTGGGTTGACGACGTGAGAAGACAACATCCTTGGTGTAGGATTCATGTGCAACTTGCTAATATATGCATACAGTTGGTGTACTGCTCCTCATTGCCATTGCTGAGGTCTCCTTCGTGGAGCTTGATTCTCTGCGGACAAGCCGAGCAGGAAGCGTATAAATATATAGCTCGGTAGGGTGGCCATGGCGCGCGGATGAGAGCGAGGAGAGGATGGGCAGCATGAAACGAAGCAGGAGCTGCCGGATCCTAGCTGCGGTGGAGGGGCTGGAGGCCAAGCTTGAGAGGAACAGCACCACCACCTTCGTCATGTCGCTGGTCATCCCGGTCCTGTGCTTGCTGTGTGTGCCGTTCTTGGTGTATAGGAGGCCAACCCTGGAATGGCTCCAAACCATTCGTGTGACCGCCGGAATAGGTGAACTCCTTGCTGCCACCAAACTGATCTCCTTATTTAATCTTGGGCATTTTTCATGCAAGTTTCTCTTGATCATTAGTTTTGAATGGAAGTTTGTTCTTCTTCTTCTTCTTCTTCTTCTTCTTCTGAAATATATGTAGGTCAACAATTTGGTGTCCTACCAAAAGACATTTTTGATCGACATCGATTTAAGTGGATACAGACACGTGAAAAGAGCATGCAACACTATGGTACACGAATTAGTTTGAAAAGGTCAAATAAGTTTGACCAAAATATATCTCCACTAATTCATCCACAAAACGAGAAAAACAAATGGGTTGAGTTATATTTATGACAACGTCTCTTGCACGTCGTGTCGTTAAACGTTGTTGACCATCCAGTAGTCATCTAGAGTTGGATTACACGAGGCTTGAACACGTACCTATAAACCTAGCTTTACCATTCATTATACTTTCAGTTGGTGCTTATACTCGTCTCTTCCTTATTCTTCTTTGTTGTAGCTTGATCGACCAACATTAGCTTGTTTAGATGTTCCCTTCCATCATTTGCGGTACAAAAGTTACTCAAAATCAATGTACAATCATGTGCCCTCTAAGGAGCTTAATCATAGGCGATCTTTCTTGTGAATGTAGCACATCACTTTAATTGCAAGCTGCGTCTGCATGAAGCCATACATGAACGTAATACTGTAAACCCTTGCTTTAACTCTCCTAAGCAAACCATTGTAGCTGAACTCATCCCACCCGTGTACTTGTTGACCACTGTAGGTTCAGTGGAGTCACCGGAGGACAAGCTCCTCGGCGGCCTGTTGCCTCCTGGGTTCGACGAAAGCTCCTGCCTCAGTCGGTACCAAGCTGCACTATACCGCAAGGCATCACCTCACAAGCCTTCCCCCTTTCTCGTGGAGAAGCTGCGAAGGTACGAAACCCTCCACAGAAAGTGCGGCCCCAACACTGAGCTATACAACAGATCCATACAACAGTTGGAGTCCGACCATAGCACAGGCCCCATGGAGTGCAACTACGTCGTCTGGATACCGCACTACGGCCTCGGCAACCGGGTGATGAGCATAGTCTCTGGCTTCCTTTATGCCCTCCTCAACGACAAAGTCCTTCTCATCCACGTCGACCGAGACATGGAGGACCTCTTCTGCGAGCCGTTCCCCGACACGTCGTGGGTCTTACCTAAAGATTTCCCCATAGAGAACTTGGGGGGGTTCGAGGGCGACGCTACTCTGAGCTATGGCAAATTGATTCGAGATAAGATCATCAACAACGATATGCGTTTTGCCACGAAGGTCACGCTGCCAGCTTACGTGTACCTTCATCTTCCCTGGTACAGCAAGGAATGGGACAGGTTATTCTACTGTGAAGATGCTCAGCAACTGCTCCGGAAGATCCCTTGGCTGCTGCTGAGGACGGACGAATACTTCGTCCCCTCGCTGTTTCTCGTCGACGAGTACGAGGAGGAGCTGCAGCAGCTCTTCCCTGAGAGAACCACCGTCTTCCACCACTTGGTACGCTACCTTTTCCATCCCACCAATACGGTATGGGGGTATGTCATGAGGTACTACCAAGGTTATCTGGCCAAGGCTGATGAGAGAATAGGCATTCAGATCAGGATCTTTCCTCTCGTGCCGATTCCCTTCGAGACAATGCTGAACCAGATCATCAACTGCACGCTCAGCCAGCATATATTGCCGGCCATCAATCCTCAGGAGCCCGCGGCAGCACCCAGCAACGCAGCAAAAGTGAAGGCGGTGCTCGTCACCAACCTGAACTCCAGCTACCATGACAGGCTCAGGGACATGTACTACGAGCACTCGACGACCACCGGCGAGGTGATCACCGTGCACCAACCAAGCCATGAGGAGCAGCAGCACACGGACAAACGGAGCCACAACGTCAAGGCATGGTCGGAGATCACTCTGTTGAGCTTCAGCGACGTTTTGGTCACCACCGCGTGGTCTACCTTCGGGTACGTGGCGCAGGGGCTTGGTGGTCTGAAGCCATGGATTCTTCTGAGGCATCCGAGGCCGGGCGTTGCATGCGTCCACGCCATGTCGACGGAGGCGTGCTTCCACGCGCCCCCAGATTACGATTGCAGAGCCCGCAAGGGCGGTGCTGACTTATCCGCGGTTGTCCCTTACGTGAGGCAGTGTGAAGATGTTGAAGTGGGCCTCAAGCTCTTTGATTAGACTGCCCGCTTGAATGTATCATAAATGATTTGTCACAACAGATTCAGCGCTCGAGATAGATATATATATATATATATATATATATATATATATATATATATATATATATATATATATATATATATA